GTTACCAAAATCTGTTATCCCATTTGGCGTTAATAGTCATCAATATATTTTGGAGCTAATTTTATTTTAATTTATTCTTAAAGATTCACTGTGTTATGAAAATAAAGCAAAAAATGTTTAAAAAGTTCAATATTATTTTAGTACATCTCTCAGACTCGAGGAAAATCTATGAAACTGCAAATGTTTTTTTTGCACACCAAGTCCGGGTTATGATCCCAGTTCAAATATATAACACAACCAATAGCGCATACAACTTGAATCTCGGAGTTTCATTTCAAATTGACACTCTGAGTTTAATTGGATATTATATATCACTATTATTCACCTGTAATAAGATTAGCTCACTATTAATGCATTAATAAAGTTGTTTAGATGAAGTTTTATATTTGCGTTAAGAATTATTCGCGCTAAGGAGTAAAATGACAAGGGAAAGGAACCCGGGCAGGACTCCTTAATTCCTGCACCGTACAAAGAAACCGTGCCTGCGCAAGCCTCTGGCCGATGTGGTGGATGACGAAACTTTCTCTGTGAAAGAAGCTCGCGTGCTTCCTTTCTGCCGGCCATCGTAAATATTCTCTCGAGTGACTCATTCTTTGTATACTCGCATCTAGGAAGACGGAAAATGTAGTCATCTTAGGCACCAAGACTCACACCTGTGATCGCAGATTCGGCTCAAAAGGTCTTTGACTTTTGTCGTCAAGTTTGGTACAAAGGAATATTGAATATTTCCGTGAACATGAAGAAATTTGCCGGATGCAGCAAACGGAATCTGCTTGATTGTGAAGAAGATGAAACTCATATACATGGCGGCTGCAATCATTAATGTATTCTGAAAAATTCAGTGCATTGTTCATAGATTATTCGTCATAACGTTATATAGTTATACAGCAAACAGGTAAGCAATTTTGCGCAAATAAACATATGTGAAAATAAATAATTTCACTGATATAGATTTAGATTTGATGATAAGGAGTCAATTCCATATTTGATTCACTTTTAATCACGGTCGACATAAAGCAATGGATTCAATCCGATAGATATTGAATCCGATCGTGGTATTGAATATATATTGAAACCTTTACTTTGATATACATTTACTTTGTTATACATATATAATATATTGTGATCAGTGCCAATACGGAGAGCATTTCTAAGGAAAACACATTCGCTAATTAAACAAGTTGCATGCTTATTGAATTAATATTTTGTGGGCTACAAAAATAGTTTCATAGTGGATACCTTCGAGGCTCACGATCCATTCTTGAGCATGTGTTTCTCTCACGGGCTAGTATTTCGTTCACGAGAAATACTTTCGTGGCTTTAGTATTTGTAAGCACAAGTAGCAAAAGCCCGTATCAAGCACACAATGATGAACATATGCCGAGCCTCAGCTGGCTTTTGTTCAAGCTGGCCTGGCAATGAACTTCTCGCTTCAGGTATCCCGGCTACAAGTCAACATATTTCCTATACGAGACTCTCGCACAAACATGAAATTCTGGGATCACTTGTCAAAATCGAGCACGAAGAATGGATGCTCTGCGACTTCAATACAAGTTGGAATCCCCAGCAATGGTTGTGGGCAGCTCCTGGAAATAATTAAAATCTCTTATGGAGGATTCGTGAGAAGGTTATGAAGTTCACGGATTCTTTGTTGCATTAATAACAAATCCGAGGGATAACAAAAGACCGTAATCATGAGAAATTAAAGAGCTACAAATTTGAATGACAGATGGGGCAGGAATTTTTCCTTAGGAGGATTGAAATTTTACTTTTTTTTAAAGACAATAGCTTATTAATATTGTTACACGAGTTCGAGAATTCTGTTGAGGGGAATTTTTGAGTGGATGTGTAAAAAAATATAACTCAGTACTCACTGCAGTGAGTGACAGAGAGCACATTTTCTCGTCGACGAAAACTTGAGGTCACGGACGGACGGACAGACGGACGGACATACGGACAGACAGACGGACGGACATACGGACAGACAGACGGACATGGCGAGCACAATAGTGCATTTTTTCCATAAATGAGAAAATGCGCTAAAAAGATTAGCATATTGTGCACTCATGTCATTATCGAGCTAGCTACTGATATTGCAGCCCCTTAAAAAACTGTTCCATTTTTCAAGTCTAAAGAGGAAATTACCCTCAATTACGATTTCTCTGCAAATCAGTAAATTAAATGTGTTTCTGAAGCGCGCATGAATAACAAACAGGTTATTTATTGCCCGAAAAACTCACGTTTCGTCAAATTATCCGAACGAAATTAACCAAAACGTCTGGCTACCCAAGAGTTCAAGAGCACTAAATTGGCAAGGCTGTTTCAGAATTGGCTGTCGAACATGGAGCGATATTTTTGTTTGGACATCTGGCGGGACAGGTCGTAAGTTGTTGACTTTGACGGCCCCTCTGATCATCGCTTATTGGTTCCGCTAACTGAGACAAAACGCAGCCACTTTTTCATGGATTCTTACATGGAGCTTCTGGCACGCTGGAAGTGGCTCTTGACAATGGGCTAAGAAATATCATTGACAATGTTCTATAAAATTAACGCCATTGAATTAATCCAAATTTTACGGTATCGAAATGTACGGGAAACAAGGATCTAAATTTCCATCGATAAAAATAGAGCATCTGATTGATTTGATTGATGGTGATATATGATGCGGACCAACTATACCGAACTAACTAACTATATTGGCAGCCGCACTTCTCAGAAAGTGAATAGATTCCATAGATTCAGTATTTTGTCGAATTATTGCCGTAGGCTAATCCATGTGAATTTAATCGTGTATTAAGATCCTGTTCAATCATCAGATATACATAATTGTTGGCCTTTCAACTGTTTTGGTGAGTATTTATACCATTCGCGTATCGCAGGGCACACGGCAGAAACCTTGCAGCATGTGTTATCGATATCATAACTATTATCGATGATATCGGTATTACCGATGATATCGGTATTACCGATGATATCGGTATTACCGATGATATCGGTATTACCGATGATATCGGTATTACCGATGATATCGGTATTATCGATGATATTGGTATTAGCGATGATATCGGTATTATCGATGATATCGGTATTAGTGATGATATCGGTATTATCGATGATATCGGTATTATCGATGATATCGGTATTAGCGATGATATTGATAGGTATATATCGATATCATAACCTCGAAACCTTGTCCGATTAAGATCACTACTTACGGATCGTTGCAGTCAGTGATGACTGGGCACTTTTGAAGGGTGGTTACAATTTAAGTATTTTTATTTCCTCCTTCTGACATTTTTCGTGCAGTAGCCCTCTACGCTTGATATTTTCTTAGAAATGGTACACACGGCATAAATTTTCAGGCATTCACTTTGCGCAAGCATGTGCAAAAAGATATGATATCCATTAATTTTTAGATCTTCGTATTATTTCCAAATCAACATCAATAACGTGATTGCGGAAAAGATATAATTTCGTCACTTGCTGTTATTTATAGAACTTTTCATCGACTCAGCTTGCTTAGAAATATTAAAAAATATTTTATCAATATTCTTTAATCTTTTGTCTCTCTCTTGATCTTGAAAATGCATCATTAGATTGCATAGCAAAAGCCATGCATCGTGTAGAGAATATTATGAAAGATTTTACGCAAACGTGGCTAAGTATATAACATATCACTGGATTCTGCATAATAGGTTTTAGCATCTAATGGCGGTATGTCTATATGATCTTCCTACTTTCAATTATAAGGAAGATACTCGTTTTATCTTGTATTAATTTAATTTCATTTTTTTGCGTACGACCAATACAAACAGATTATCAAAGCACTTTATAGAACCACTAACTGCAATATAATTGACTATCAGTGTACTTTAAAGGTCCAATAGTAAAACGCGATCGTTGTACTAGTGTTTTGGAATAGTTGCATTTCGTGGATGCAATCAAATAATTGGCTTAGTGGAGTCCATTAAGTTGACGTGAAAGCTTATCTTTAGTGGGAATTGTTACCTTCTATTGGCTAAAGAGCTACAGGGACGATTGTAAAATTCAATGCATTACGTCAAGATATGCATTGAATTTTTCCAATTGGATGCGTTGGTTGTTTGATTAAAGGATGTGCATTGGAGTCAGGGTGGTTGAAGACGTAACACGACTAATCCGAGATACACATGACGTTCTTATACATCTTAATTATTCTTATCACGTTAAGAAGAACGTATACGAGAATTTCACTTATTTTGAGGACCTTTTTGTATATTGCGGTTTTCTTCTAGCACCTGCTGAATTAAGGTATTTCTCCTAAAGGCATTTCTTATAAAAGTACCTCTCGTTAACTCAGGTACTTTGATACAGTCTGGATCACAATCCAATCTCTGTACAAGATGTAATTTCAGCAGTATAGATCGTACAAATTCCAGGTATTCCTACTCCTGAAATAAGTGCACCAATAATATAATTGAACCAGATTTATGATCTCAATTATGTCGGTATGTCACCGCACGTTGGTCCCCAATTACCCGAGCTTCTAGAATCCAGATAATTACGGATGCAACCTCGACAGCTGCAATCATCTCCTAAAACCATCGGGATTCGCTTTGAAAATATTGTTTTTTTTTCTCAGACGAGAAAAAAATTTCTAAATTAAATTTCTAAATTTCTATCGGAATTTCTACCGATGATTGGTCTCATTGGTTTTCAAATATATGAGTGTAATTTATTAAGTTGATGAAAATTAAACTTTTGAAGTTATAAAAACCTTGTTACTTTTTATAGGACATTCGTCAAAAAATCAGCAGAGTTGCAAAGTTGACTCTGAGTTTGCTAATTATACCGTTTGAAAAATTCTGATGCTGTACTTCAAATATCAATATGATTTTCATCTTGTTTCTTAATTATTGTCACTGATTAACCATATCTTATTGGAAGAAGTATGATATTTTATACTTTTAGTCCTAGAGGTGAAAAAGAGACGCTTTAAGCAGAATTTATTTATTATTGGAAATGATTTTTCTGAATATAAAATCGATGAGCGAATTCACAGGCATACAATAGTTTCTAGTATAATAAATTTACTGTACAAATGACTAGAATGTTATATTATTTTAATTTAAGCTTTGGTTATAGAATTTTGTGTTGAATACACATCCTGAGCAACTTATCGAAATGCATGTCGTTTCATTTCTTCAGACCAGAAGTAAAAATTTCAACTAATTCTCAATATGAGAAACCAAGAAAATAATACTAGAGTTTGCCCATCAGACATCGCGAGAAGAACATGAACAAATTTAAAAACAACTAACGCAATAGAATTAATAACATAAAACGTACAAAAGTACAGAATATTACAGAATTAAGTACAAGTCAATAACATTAAAAATAAAAAATTTAAAAGGACATGAAGATGAACAATGGAGATTATGTCTTAATAATTGAAGGGTGATTTCAAGAAGGGAATTTATCTTCCGCCTCACACATTATTTTAGAAAACGACGGACTGCAGCGCAGCATTGAAATCTTCCGACAGGCATTTTCCTTGTGCTTGTTGAGGAGCGACATGCGCGAGAAAGTCTTGGTGCAAATCTGGCAGGCGTATTTCTTGACTGTGGCGTGCGTCTGCTGGTGCGCCCTCAAGTTGCTGCGGTCCGCAAAACTGCGGCAACATTCGCTGCACTGGAACGGCTTCTCTCCGGTGTGGGTGCGGATGTGGCCCTGCAGCAGCCACGGCCGCGAGAACGACTTGCCACAAATGTGGCACTTGCAGGGCAGCGTGTGCGTCCGGATGTGCATCTTGAGAGCCCCGGGAGTACCGTAAGCCTTGTCACATCCTTGTTTTGGACACATAAACAACGATTGGGCGTCATCGGCGCTACTACAGACCATCTCTGCCTTGTGTTTACTGAGACCCGAGCACGTGCTGTAAATCTTGCCACAATTCTCACAGATAAATTGTACCCCTTTCTCCCAGAGAGGATTATCTGAATCTCCCTCAATATCAATTTCGTCATCGCTTGGCGACTCTGCGACAATTCCGGAGTCGTCAGAGGTGATGGAACACGGTGATGAAAGTTGACCATTAGTTTCTGACGTCGAAGGGATTTGTGCTGCCATAAGATTTTGGTTCCACATTGGGAATGGATAAATAGTTTGGGGCATCCTATTCCGCACTGTGCTTGGATGTGTAAACAATTTGCTGCTATTTACGGCATTCTGGAAGTGTTCGAAGAAAAAAAAGTTGGCCAAAGGAGAATCGACGGACGGTACGGAAACAGGCGCTGTAATCGTGGGTGCAGAATTTGTTAACAAGTCAGAATTTTCTTTAGTGATCTTCGGTGAAAGCTTAATTTGCTCAACTGTAGATAAAGGAGCGGTGGAAGAGGTAGTTGGCTCGGAACATTCTTGCTTCACGGTACTCATTTGAAGGGATACAAAATCGATACATGCTTTAGGAACTTCACGACATTCAGCAACATTTTTAGTTGACGATAAATTTACTGGAAATTCACGAGGTGTAAATTCGCTGTCACGCAACCATTTATGATATTCAAAGTTGCTTGCAACATGAGCCAACGGACTTGAATTTTTTCGACGTTTCGGAGAAAGCACTCGAATTGATGGAATCAAATTAGAGCTGGGAGAAAGTTTAACTCTTGGAGATGTTGATGTTGATATTGATGCTGAAGTTGAAGTTGAAGTAGAAGTTGAAGTAGAAGTTGATGTTGAAGTTGAAGTAGAAGCTTCGTCGCGCTGGTTTTGAGAACGCCAAGGGGTGAAAAACGGGCTTCCTGGTCGCCCTAGCCTGGGTTTCTTCATTGATAAGTCTTCGGGCTTGTCATCATCTACAAAGAAGAAAATCAACATTAAACACATATCAATGTATGGGTACAATAAAGGGTTTTATTATTATCCATTCATTGAAAAATACTTTGAGAAAAATATTGAAATGTAATATTTTGTAGCAAATCGGTATGAAAATAAATTTAATGTACAAATTCAAGCACTGAATTGGCATAAAGGTATGAAACAGGGCAAAAAACAAAAATATGTAGTAAATTAAAAAATAAAAATAAATGTAAGTCACTCCAGCAAAAATTGACTGGGAAATCCAATATATGTGCGGACCAGTTAATCGAAAGTATGGCTGTTTACGAAGCTATATTAATAAGGATTGCATGCAAGACCAGAAATGTATTTCGTCAGTCATTTTAACCAAAATTCCATGTCAAATGCACTCCATTAATTGAAAAATGAAGAAGAAAAATTTTGCTGTGTTGATAATTAATTAATTTTTCAAATTTAACTTTATTTTTCATCACGAAGAAAAGTAAAAATTGAACCAAACTCCACTCATTCCTGGTAATCATTTCTAATTTGTTTTGCTACGCCAAAATCAACAAACGAATTAAAAAAAATTTCCAAACATCTTATAGATATTTAAATTGAACCTATTGAAGATTAATCACAAAAAAATCCATTAACTCACTCGACTCTTCCTTCTCGATAATGAGTGGTCGTTTTTTCAAAGGCCGACTCCTATAATCAAAGTTTTGAGGTTGCACACAAGTTGCCATTTTCGCAGTAGGTTTGCAGGATCACCAGGCACTAGATATGGTCACGGGTGCAGCGGGAGGCTAACTGAGTTACCGCAGCGCAGGTGGCGCTATTTATATCCTGTGGTCGTACCTAGGCTACGCCTTCGTTCGGGAGGAGCTTACAATCTCCATTCGTTGGCTGCACGCTATGTTCAGTCACGAAATTGTCGTAGGATTCAGCATAGGATTCAGAACTATGTCGTGGGATTCAGTAAAGGAAGAACAATGTCGTAGGATTTAGCAAATGATTCAGAACAATGTAGTAGAATTCAGCAAATGATTAAGAACAATGTCGTAGGATTCAGCAATTGATTCAGAACCATGTCGTGGGATTCAGCAAATTATTCAGAACAATGTCGTAGGATTCAGCAAATGATTCAGAACCATGTCGTAGGATTCAGCAAATGATTCAGAACCATATCGTAGGATTCAGCAAATGATTAAGAACAATGTCGTAGGATTCAGCAATTGATTCAGAACCATGTCGTAAGATTCAGTAAAGGATTAAGAACCATGTCGTAGGATTCAGCATAGGATTCAGAACCATGTCGTAGCATTCAGCAAATGATTCAGAACCATGTCGTAGGATTCAGCAAAGTATTCAGAACCATGTCATAGGATCCAGCATAGGATTCAGAACCATCAACCCACTATGCAAAGGACGGTGAAGCAACGTTGATTAGGATTTGATTGCGCCGACAAACACGTTTAATCAACGTTATTTAAAAAACTGGTAGGTTATAAGGATTTTTATTTTACAGAACTTAAATCGATGATTAGATAAAATTTTCCCTAAAAATAAATATCCAATTAGTAAAATGAGAGATAGTTTCACGAATAGATGAAGAACTGTGATTTATCTGATCTTATTTCAAAGAATATTAGTTAAATTTTTACTTCTTACATAGTAAATGTATTTACTGGACACGCCATAACCAAATAAACCCAATTTATATTCGTTTACTACGAATGGTAACGTATTCTGCTTTATTCAAGAAGAATAAAATGATTCTAACATTAAATTTTAATAGAAAGTTTGAGAAACGCAATAAATTTAGCGCGAATATTGAAAGCCTCCGTGATAAAAGTAACATTGCTGTCCTTATACCTAGTCTCCGTTGTTTATTTGTGTCTTTTCTCAACAAAATTCCATGACAAGTATTACCGTGACACTTGTCAGGTTGATATGATTAGTTCGGCTTTGCGCTTTCGTGACTCCCGATACTTAATTCGTGATTACTCCCAAGGGGGTCTCATATAACAATTAGAACTCGAGAACAACAACTTTCTCCTGATCGAACATCACAGTGGACATATTTACCTAAGAGACCAACCTTTGACAAATTGACTATCACAGCAGGATTAGTGAAGGCGGTTTTGAAGCTATTTTCACGTACGAATAAATTTCTCGTACAGGTAAGATACTGTGTAAGAGATATACTTTTGGATCAGAAAGCTTATAATTTTTTCAAATTGGACACTTGGGATGTCTTTTCTTCTTTTTAAAATGCTTACGACCACAAAAATCCTCGGCATCTGCTGTGCCTAATACATGAAATATTTCTTCTATAGATACATGATGAAACGTGGACATTGAGCACTTCTTAAAGGACATAAGCTTGAGAATGAATTCTCTAATGAACTTAGGTATGCTTTCGTTTTTTAATCTCTTGGACATGTTTTCTCTGATTTTTCGCACCTAAAAACATTCTCTTTCGTCTTGAACCCACGAAGACCATCCAGATTTATTTCATTCTTATTAATAACATATATAAACCCATCTAACAAATTTCCGTTCACTATTAATAATAGTAGAAATAGCCACGGCAAACTTACAGCTATTGTGCCGTGACCACGACTAAGGCTCCGCCCCACGAACGGCGACTGCGTGCGACTGGTCGCACGTGCTTATACCTGTGCGTGCGTACGCGCGTTCGTAGCCTGCATGGACGGTGAGTTCAACGCGCACGCATGTATTCACACGAACGCGGCGTTCGCTCGTACGTGAACGCAGGTTTGCTCTCACGCGCACGCATTCTCACCTAGCAACACATTTGTTAATAATAACTCAGTTGCGCATACATGCTTTCGCGCATACATGAGGCACTATGCGCATAAGTATGGCATCATATACGCAGATATACAACATGATACGATATATCCGGGCACTATACACATATATACAACATGATACGATATCTTCGGTACTATACGCATATATAAAAAATGATGTGATATATACAACACTATAGGCAAATATACAACATGTTAAAATATATATATAACACTGTACTCATATATACAACATAAATACAATATATACAGCTCTGTACTGACATATCCACAAGAAACGATGTATACCACACTATATACGCACATATATAGCGGCATGAAACAATGTATACAGCACTCTACGCATATAGGTATACGACATGATACTATACATGTTCACAATTCGCTTTACAGCGTAGGAATCCATACAGCTTAGGTCTGAGTTACCAGCAACATGTATTCCCTACAACGTAGGAATGCGTTACCATGCAGCAACAGGTAATCCTTACAGCGTAGGAATGCGTTACCATGCAGCAACAGGTCATCCCTACAGCGTAGGAATGCGTTACCGGCACAGGTAATACCTACAGCGTAGGAATGAGTTACCAGCAAAAGGTAATCCCTACAGCGTAGGAATGCGTTACCATGCAGCAACAGGTAATCATTACAGCGTAGGAATGCGTTACCATGCAGCAACAGGTATTCCCTACAGCGTAGGAATGCGTTACCATGCAGCAACAGATAATCACTACAGCGTAGGAATGCGTTACAATGCAGCAACAGGTAATCCCTACAGCGTAGGAATGCGTTACCAGCAACAGGTATTCCCTACAGCGTAGGAATGCGTTACCGGCACAGGTAATACCTACAGCGTAGGAATGAGTTACGAGCAACAGGTATTCCCTACAATCCCTACAACGTATAGGAATGCGTTACCATGCAGCAACAGGTATTCCCTACAACGTAGGAATGCGTTACCGGCACAGGTAATACATACAGCGTAGGAATGAGTTACGAGCAACAGGTAATCCCTACAGCGTAGGAATGCGTTCCCAGCAACAGGTAATCCCTACAGCGTAGGAATGCGTTATACCAGCAACAGGTAATCCCTATGAGGATACTAAGGATACTAAGGATAACAGCGTGCTTAATGAATGCTGCTTAATGATTGATTCGCTACTGCGAGCCAGATAGAAATTATCACCAACTTTTTAATATAAAATATTTATTTAACCGTTACTAAAAATGTTGACATTATACATATTAGTTTAGTTATATATATGAGGAGAAACGTTATAAAATGACGAATCAAACAGAATAAGTCGTACAAAAATGTTGTGGGAGTCATAAGAAATATCATTTAACTTATATGTATTTGGTTTATAAGTACATATAGATGAAAACTAATATGTATTTTGTTTATAAACACATATAAGTGAAAAATTATACGCATTTGACTTATAAATACATATAAGTGAAAACTTACATGTATTTGACTTATAAACACATATAAGTGAAAACTTATATGTATTTGACTTATAGATATAAATAAGTGAAAAATGATATATACTTGAAGTTAAGTTCAGACATGGGAAGGATCTCGTGTTGCGTTTCGCACGTACTGTGCGCCGTGTAAAGCGCCGTGTACAGCACCGTGTACAGCACCGTGTACAGCACCGTGTACAAACCGTGTACAGTACCGTGTACAGCACCGTGTACAGCACCGTGTACAGCGCCGTGTACAGCACCGTGTACAGCACCGTGTACAGTACCGTGTACAGGGCTGTGTTCGCTGTAACATGACACCTTCTCTTATAGCCTCTTCATATCACATTCACGCTTACGACCACAAAACGCTCAGCTGCTCATTACCAATCCTAAAGCAATTACAATTGTCTATAAAATTCCAGAGCAATTGCACTGGAATTCAAAAGAACATCAATTGCCGGGATAATTATCAAGTCACGTGAGCATTTCACAGCAATTAAAGGAATAATGTTTTTGATGCGTATGAAAATGATATCTCTTAGAATTCGCACGATCATATAATAACGTGTTCTGAATTTATGCATTGAAAAAACGCTTATTCAGGAAATTTACTCGGCATTATTTTACTGCTTCTTATACCGCCAGACTTCGATTGAGTCTTCATTATAGTTATTAATCAAAAGTATGTCGCAAGTTCGTCAATTTAACTTCCAAATATGACAATTTTAGGGCGATGGACATGTAGAATAAGTTTTATAATTTTGTTTTTCATGGATTAATATAATAGCTGTTAATTAATAATCCTAGGACTGATCCTTCTTGATTTCAATCTAAATATATTGAGATCCATCGTGGCCTGGGACTGCTACGTCCCAATTAAACAAGTACCAAGAGATTACCATGGAGACTCGCTTGACGTCGTTTGGATGCGAAAACCACGAGTCGTCATGCTTTAGATGTAGAAATACAAAAAAACTGTACAGCATTTAATATTATATTTTTTACCTCACTTAAATGAAAGCTCATGGAATAAAATTCGCTATGCCTAAAACGTGTCGTCATTGATGTTAAAATATAACGAGACGATTTAGTCCTGAAAGTCAGACGATGATAGCAGCCACGTGTATCGTATCATCGATTGCATTGAATAAATACCACTCTTTTTGCGCATTTTTTCATTTATGGAAAAAATGCCCTATTGTGCTCGTCATGTCCGTCCGTCCGTCTATCCGTGACTTCACGTTCTCGTCGATGAGAAAATGCGCTATCTGTCGTTCACTGCAGTGAGTACTGAGTTATATTTTATTTACACCATCAACCTTGCAAAATATGTAAGACTGGCAAATAAATTTTTTGTTCAACATAAACAATTTGATAAATGCTTAGAAAATTAGCATCCGAATAATTAATTTTTCTAATTTTGTAGAGAGCTATGTGTGGACGGATTATCTGTTCCGTAAATTATGGTTCCATTAGGTTGAATGGTTTCA